GGATACTCGTCTTCACTGTCAAGGTGGGCGGGGAGTGGGGGGGGGTGTGGGTGGGGGGTGACTGACTAAGTGACTAACTAAGTGACTAAGTGACTGACTAAGTGACTAACTAAGTGACTAACTAAGTGACTGACTAAGTGACTAACTAACTACTCCCCACATGAGGATGAGTCTATGTTACTGTTCCTGGGGCTCGTGTCTCCAGGCAGGATACTCGTCTTCACTGTCAAAGTGGGCGGGGATTGGTGGGGGGATTGGTGGGGGGTGACTGACTAAGTGACTAACTAAGTGGCTAACTAAGTGACTAACTAAGTGACTAACTAAGTGACTGACTAGGTGACTAACTAAGTGACTGACTAAGTGACTAACTAAGTGACTAACTAAGTGACTAACTAAGTGACTAACTAACTACTCCCCACATGAGGATGAGTCTATGTTACTGTTCCTGGGGCTCGTGTCTCCAGGCAGGATACTCGTCTTTACTGTCAAGGTGGGCGGGGATTGGTGGGGGGATTGGTGGGGGGGTGACTGACTAAGTGACTGACTAAGTGACTAATTAAGTGACTAACTAAGTGACTAACTAAGTGACTAAGTGACTAACTAAGTGACTAACTAAGTGACTGACTAAGTGACTAACTAAGTGACTAACTAAGTGACTAACTAAGTGACTAACTAACTACTCCCCACATGAGGATGAGTCTATGTTACTGTTCCTGGGGCTGGTGTCTCCAGGCAGGGATACTCGTCTTCACTGTCAAGGTGGGCGGGGATTGGTGGGGGATTGGTGGGGGTGACTGACTAAGTGACTAACTAAGTGACTAACTAAGTGACTAACTAAGTGACTAACTAAGTGACTGACTAAGTGACTGACTAAGTGACTGACTAAGTGACTGACTAAGTGACTGACTAAGTGACTAACTAAGTGACTAACTAAGTGACTAACTAACTACTCCCCACATGAGGATGAGTCTATGTTACTGTTCCTGGGGCTCGTGTCTCCAGGCAGGATACTCGTCTTCACTGTCAAGGTGGGCGGGGATTGGTGGGGGGATTGGTGGGGGGTGGGTGACTGACTAAGTGACTAACTAAGTGACTAACTAAGTGACTAACTAAGTGACTAACTAAGTGACTAACTAAGTGACTAACTAACTACTCCCCACATGAGGATGAGTCTATGTTACTGTTCCTGGGGCTGGTGTCTCCAGGCAGGATACTCGTCTTCACTGTCAAGGTGGGCGGGGATTGGTGGGGGGGATTGGTGGGGGGGGGGGTGACTGACTAAGTGACTAACTAAGTGACTAACTAAGTGACTAACTAAGTGACTGACTAAGTGACTGACTAACTAAGTGACTAACTAAGTGACTAAGTGACTGACTAAGTGACTAAGTGACTAACTAAGTAACTAACTAAGTGACTAACTAAGTGACTAACTAAGTGACTAACTAAGTGACTGACTAAGTGACTGACTAAGTGACTGACTAAGTGACTAAGTGACTAACTAAGTGACTAACTAAGTGACTAACTAAGTGACTAACTAAGTGACTAACTAAGTGACTAACTAAGTGACTGACTAAGTGACTAACTAAGTGACTAAGTGACTAACTAAGTGACTAACTAAGTGACTAACTAAGTGACTAACTAACTACTCCCCACATGAGGATGAGTCTATGTTACTGTTCCTGGGGCTGGTGTCTCCAGGCAGGATACTCGTCTTCACTGTCAAGGTGGGCGGGGATTGGTGGGGGGATTGGTGGGGGGTGGGTGACTGACTAAGTGACTAACTAAGTGACTAACTAAGTGACTGACTAAGTGACTGACTAACTAAGTGACTAACTAAGTGACTAAGTGACTGACTAAGTGACTAAGTGACTAACTAAGTAACTAACTAAGTGACTAACTAAGTGACTAACTAAGTGACTAACTAAGTGAATGACTAAGTGACTGACTAAGTGACTGACTAAGTGACTAAGTGACTAACTAAGTGACTAACTAAGTGACTAACTAAGTGACTAACTAAGTGACTAACTAACTACTCCCCACATGAGGATGAGTCTATGTTACTGTTCCTGGGGCTGGTGTCTCCAGGCAGGATACTCGTCTTCACTGTCAAGGTGGGCGGGGATTGGTGGGGGGATTGGTGGGGGGTGACTGACTAAGTGACTAACTAAGTGACTAACTAAGTGACTAACTAAGTGACTAACTAAGTGACTAAGTGACTAACTAAGTGACTGACTAAGTGACTAACTAAGTGACTAACTAAGTGACTAACTAAGTCACTATCTAAGTGACTAAGTGACTAACTAAGTGACTGACTAAGTGACTGACTAAGTGACTAACTAAGTGACTAACTAAGTGACTAACTAAGTGACTAACTAACTACTCCCCACATGAGGATGAGTCTATGTTACTGTTCCTGGGGCTGGTGTCTCCAGGCAGGATACTCGTCTTCACTGTCAAGGTGGGCGGGGATTGGTGGGGGGATTGGTGGGGGGGTGACTGACTAAGTGACTGACTAAGTGACTAACTAAGTGACTAACTAAGTGACTAACTAAGTGACTAACTAACTACTCCCCACATGAGGATGAGTCTATGTTACTGTTCCTGGGGCTGGTGTCTCCAGGCAGGATACTCGTCTTCACTGTCAAGGTGGGCGGGGATTGGTGGGGGGATTGGTGGGGGGTGGCTGACTGACTAAGTGACTAAGAACTAAGTGACTAACTAAGGTGACTACTAAGTGACTGACTAAGTGACTGACTAAGTGACTAACTAAGTGACTAACTAAGTGACTAACTAACTACTCCCCACATGAGGATGAGTCTATGTTACTGTTCCTGGGGCTCGTGTCTCCAGGCAGGATACTCGTCTTCACTGTCAAGGTGGGCGGGGTTGGGGGGGGGTTTTGGGGGGGGGGTGACTGACTAAGTGACTAACTAAGTGACTAACTAAGTGACTAACTAAGTGACTAACTAAGTGACTAACTAAGTGACTAACTAACTACTCCCCACATGAGGATGAGTCTATGTTACTGTTCCTGGGGCTCGTGTCTCCAGGCTGGATACTCGTCTTCACTGTCACGGGGGGGGGGGTTTGGTGGGGGGATTGGTGGGGGGTGACTGACTAAGTGACTACTAAGTGACTAACTAAGTGACTAACTAGTGACTCACTAAGTGACTAGACTAACTAAGTGACTGACTAGTGACTACTAAGTGACTAACTAAGTGACTAACTAGGACTACTACTACTCCCACATGAGGATGAGTCTATGTTACTGTTCCTGGGCTGGTGTCTCCAGGCAGGATACTCGTCTCACTGTCAAGGTGGGCGGGGGATTGGTGGGGGGGATTGGTGGGGGGGTGACTGACTAAGTGACCTAACTAAGTGACTAACTAAGTGACTAACTAAGTGACCTAACTAAGTGACTGACTAAGTGAACTAAGTCACTACTAAGTGACAAGTGACTAACTAAGTGACTAGACTAAGTGACTAACTAAGTGACTAACTAAGTGACTAACTAAGTGACTAACTAACTACTCCCCACATGAGGATGAGTCTATGTTACTGTTCCTGGGGCTCGTGTCTCCAGGCAGGATACTCATCTTTACTGTCAAGGTGGGCGGGGATTGGTGGGGGGATTGGTGGGGGGGTGGGTGACTGACTAAGTGACTGACTAAGTGACTAACTAAGTGACTAACTAAGTGACTGACTAAGTGACTGACTAAGTGACTAACTAAGTGACTGACTAAGTGACTAACTAACTACTCCCCACATGAGGATGAGTCTATGTTACTGTTCCTGGGGCTCGTGTCTCCAGGCAGGATACTCGTCTTCACTGTCAAGGTGGGCGGGGATTGGTGGGGGGATTGGTGGGGGGTGACTGACTAAGTGACTGACTAAGTGACTAACTAAGTGACTAACTAAGTGACTGACTAAGTGACTAACTAACTACTCCCCACATGAGGATGAGTCTATGTTACTGTTCCTGGGGCTGGTGTCTCCAGGCAGGATACTCGTCTTCACTGTAATGGTGGGGGGGGATTGGTGGGGGGATTGGTGGGGGGTGACTGACTAAGTGACTAACTAAGTGACTAACTAAGTGACTAACTAAGTGACTAACTAAGTGACTAACTAAGTGACTGACTAAGTGACTAACTAAGTGACTAACTAAGTGACTAACTAAGTGACTAACTAAGTGACTGACTAAGTGACTAACTAAGTGACTAACTAAGTGACTAACTAACTACTCTCCACATCAGGATGAGTCTATGTTACTGTTCCTGGGGCTGGTGTCTCCAGGCAGGATACTCGTCTTCACTGTCAAGGTGGGCGGGGATTGGTGGGGGGATTGGTGGGGGGTGACTGACTAAGTGACTAACTAAGTGACTAAGTGACTAACTAAGTGACTAACTAAGTGACTAAGTGACTAACTAAGTGACTAACTAAGTGACTAATTAAGTGACTAATTAAGTGACTAACTAAGTGACTGACTAAGTGACTGACTGAGTGACTGACTAAGTGACTGACTAAGTGACTAACTAAGTGCCTGACTAAGTGACTAACTGACTAACTAAGTGACTGACTAAGTGACTGACTAAGTGACTGACTAAGTGACTGACTAAGTGACTGACTAATTGACTAACTAATTGACTAACTAATTGACTAACTAAGTGACTAACTAAGTGACTAACTAAGTGACTAACTAAGTGACTAACTAAGTGACTAACTAATTGACTAAGTGACTAACTAAGTGACTAACTAAGTGACTAACTAACTACTCCCCACATGAGGATGAGTCTATGTTACTGTTCCTGGGGCTCGTGTCTCCAGGCAGGATACTCGTCTTTACTGTCAAGGTGGGCGGGGATTGGTGGGGGGATTGGTGGGGGGGTGACTGACTAAGTGACTAACTAAGTGACTAACTAAGTGACTAACTAAGTGACTAACTAAGTGACTAACTAAGTGACTAACTAAGTGACTAACTAAGTGACTAACTAAGTGACTAACTAAGTGACTAACTAAGTGACTAACTAAGTGACTAACTAAGTGACTAACTAAGTGACTAACTAACTACTCCCCACATGAGGATGAGTCTATGTTACTGTTCCTGGGGCTGGTGTCTCCAGGCAGGATACTCGTCTTCACTGTCAAGGTGGGCGGGGATTGGTGGGGGGATTGGTGGGGGGGGTGGGTGACTAAGTGACTAACTAAGTGACTGACTAAGTGACTAACTAAGTGACTAACTAAGTGACTAACTAAGTGACTAACTAAGTTACTAGCTAAGTGACTGACTAAGTGACTAACTAAGTGACTAACTAAGTGACTAAGTCACTAACTAAGTGACTGACTAAGTGACTAACTAAGTGACTAACTAAGTGACTAACTAAGTGACTAAGTGACTAACTAAGTGACTAACTAAGTGACTAACTAAGTTACTAACTAAGTGACTGACTAAGTGACTAACTAAGTGACTAACTAAGTGACTAAGTCACTAACTAAGTGATTGACTAAGTGACTAACTAAGTGACTAACTAAGTGACTAACTAAGTGACTAAGTGACTAACTAAGTGACTGACTAAGTGACTAACTAAGTGACTAACTAAGTGACTAAGTGACTAACTAAGTGACTAACTAAGTGACTAACTAAGTGACTAACTAAGTGACTAACTAAGTGACTAACTAAGTGACTGACTAAGTGACTGACTAAGTGACTAAGTGACTAACTAAGTGACTGACTAAGTGACTAACTAAGTGACTAACTAAGTCACTAACTAAGTGACTAAGTGACTAACTAAGTGACTAACTAAGTGACTAACTAAGTGACTAAGTGACTGACTAAGTGACTAACTAAGTGACTAACTAAGTGACTAAGTGACTAACTAAGTGACTAACTAAGTGACTAACTAAGTGACTAACTAAGTGACTAACTAAGTGACTGACTAAGTGACTGACTAAGTGACTAACTAAGTGACTAACTAAGTGACTGACTAAGTGACTGACTAAGTGACTAACTAAGTGACTAAGTGACTGACTAAGTGACTAACTAAGTGACTAACTAAGTGACTAACTAAGTGACTAACTAAGTGACTATATTATCTAGGACGAGGGCTTGTTCCACTTGTCAGCGTCTGCCCGCCAGAGACTCACAGAGTTGGGCAGTCTGCAGGCCTCAGGGCTCACTCAGTCACTGACTAAGTGACTAACTAAGTGACTAACTAAGTGACTAACTAAGTGACTAAGTGACTAACTAAGTGACTAACTAAGTGACTAACTAAGTGACTAACTAAGTGACTGACTAAGTGACTGACTAAGTGACTAACTAAGTGACTAACTAAGTGACTAACTAAGTGACTAACTAAGTGACTAACTAAGTGACTAACTAAGTGACTAACTAAGTGACTAACTAAGTGACTAACTAAGTGACTGACTAAGTGACTAACTAAGTGACTAACTAAGTGACTAACTAAGTGACTAACTAAGTGACTAAGTGACTAACTAAGTGACTGACTAAGTGACTGACTAAGTGACTGACTAAGTGACTAACTAAGTGACTAACTAAGTGACTAACTAAGTGACTAACTAAGTGACTAACTAAGTGACTAACTAAGTGACTGACTAAGTGACTAACTAGGTGACTAACTAGGTGACTGACTAAGTGACTGACTAAGTGACTGACTAAGTGACTGACTAAGTGACTAACTAGGTGACTAACTAAGTGACTAACTAAGTGACTAACTAAGTGACTGACTAAGTGACTGACTAAGTGACTAACTAGGTGACTAACTAGGTGACTAACTAAGTGACTAACTAAGTGACTAACTAAGTGACTAACTAAGTGACTAACTAGGTGACTAACTAGGTGACTAACTAAGTGACTAACTAAGTGACTAACTAAGTGACTAACTAAGTGACTAACTAAGTGACTAACTAAGTGACTAACTAAGTGACTAACTAAGTGACTAAGTGACTAACTAAGTGACTAACTAAGTGACTAACTAAGTGACTAACTAAGTGACTAACTAAGTGACTGACTAAGTGACTGACTAAGTGACTGACTAAGTGACTAACTAAGTGACTAACTAAGTGGCCAAGTGACTAACTAAGTGACTAACTAAGTGACTAAGTGACTAACTAAGTGACTAACTAAGTGACTAACTAAGTGACTAACTAAGTGACTAACTAAGTGACTAACTAAGTGACTGACTAGGTGACTAACTAAGTGACTAACTAAGTGACTAACTAAGTGACTAACTAAGTGACTAACTAAGTGACTAACTAGGTGACTAACTAAGTGACTAACTAAGTGACTAACTAAGTGACTAACTAAGTGACTATATTATCTAGGACGAGGGCTCGTTCCACTTGTCAGCGTCTGCCCGCCAGAGACTCACAGAGTTGGGCAGTCTGCAGGCCTCAGGGCTCACTCAGTCACTGACTAAGTGACTAACTAAGTGACTAACTAAGTGACTAACTAAGTGACTAAGTGACTGACTAAGTGACTAACTAAGTGACTAACTAAGTGACTAACTAAGTGACTAACTAAGTGACTAACTAAGTGACTAAGTGACTAAGTGACTAACTAAGTGACTAACTAAGTGACTAACTAAGTGACTAAGTGACTAACTAAGTCACTAACTAAGTGACTATGTGACTAACTAAGTGACTAACTAAGTGACTAAGTGACTAACTAAGTGACTGACTAAGTGACTAACTAAGTGACTAACTAAGTGACTAAGTGACTAACTAAGTGACTGACTAAGTGACTGACTAAGTGACTAACTAAGTGACTAACTAAGTGACTAACTAAGTCACTAACTAAGTGACTAACTAAGTGACTAACTAAGTGACTGACTAAGTGACTGACTAAGTGACTGACTAAGTGACTGACTAAGTGACTAACTAAGTGACTGACTAAGTGACTGACTAAGTGACTGACTAAGTGACTGACTAAGTGACTGACTAAGTGACTGACTAAGTGACTGACTAAGTGACTGACTAAGTGACTGACTAAGTGACTGACTAAGTGACTAACTAAGTGACTAACTAAGTGACTAACTAAGTGACTGACTAAGTGACTGACTAAGTGACTAACTAAGTGACTAACTAAGTGACTAACTAAGTGACTAACTAAGTGACTATATTATCTAGGACGAGGGCTCTTTCCACTTGTCAGCGTCTGCCCGCCAGAGACTCACAGAGTTGGGCAGTCTGCAGGCCTCAGGCCTTACTCAGTCACTGACTAAGTGACTAACTAAGTGACTAACTAAGTGACTAAGTGACTAACTAAGTGACTAACTAAGTGACTAACTAAGTGACTATATTATCTAGGACGAGGGCTCTTTCCACTTGTCAGCGTCTGCCCGCCAGAGACTCACAGAGTTGGGCAGTCTGCAGGCCTCAGGGCTTGCCTGGCGAGACACTTGGGCCCTGGTTCTCTACAATGGCGGTGAGACACCTCGCTCAGTCTCTGTCTAACTACTCTGTGTCCAACTAGTGTGTCCAACTAGTGTGTCTAACTACTCTCTGTCTAACTAGTGTGTCCAACTAGTGTGTCTAACTAGTGTGTCTAACTAGTGTGTCTAACTACTCTGTGTCCAACTAGTGTGTCCAACTAGTGTGTCTAACTAGTGTGTCTAACTACTCTGTGTCCAACTAGTGTGTCTAACTAGTGTGTCTAACTACTCTCTGTCTAACTAGTGTGTCTAACTAGTTAGTGTCTGACTACTTAGTGTTTCACACACTCACTCAGCCACTCACTCAGCCACTCACTCAGTCTCTGTCTAACTAGTGTGTATAACTAGTGTGTCTAACTACTCTCTGTCTAACTACTCTGTGTCCAACTAGTGTGTCTTACTAGTGTGTCTAACTACTCTCTGTCTAACTAGTGTGTCTAACTAGTTAGTGTTTCACACACTCACTCAGTCTCTGTCTAACTACTCTCCATCTAACTAGTGTGTCTAACTAGTTAGTGTATTCACACACTCACTCAGTCTCTGTCTAACTACTCTCTGTCTAACTAGTGTGTCTAACTAGTGTGTCTAACTAGTGTGTCTAACTACTCTCTGTCTAACTACTCTCTGTCTAACTACTCTGTGTCCAACTAGTGTGTCTAACTAGTGTGTCTAACTACTCTCTGTCTAACTACTCTCTGTCTAACTACTCTCTGTCTAACTAGTGTGTCTAACTAGTGTGTCTAACTACTCTCTGTCTAACTAGTGTGTCTAACTAGTGTGTCTAACTAGTTAGTGTCTGACTACTTAGTGTTTCACACACTCACTCAGCCACTCACTCAGCCACTCACTCAGTCTCTGTCTAACTACTCTCTGTCTAACTAGTGTGTCTAACTACTCTCCGTCTAACTAGTGTGTCTAACTACTCTCTGTCTAACTATTTAGTGTCTAACTACTCTGTCTAACTAGTGTGTCTAACTACTTAGTGTCTAACTACTCTCTGTCTAACTAGTGTGTCTAACTACTCTCTGTCTAACTGGTGTGTCTAACTAGTTAGTGTCTGACTACTTAGTGTTTCACACACTCACTCAGCCACTCACTCAGCCACTCACTCAGTCTCTGTCTAACTACTCTCTGTCTAACTAGTGTGTCTAACTACTCTGTGTCCAACTAGTGTGTCTAACTACTCTCTGTCTAACTAGTGTGTCTAACTATTTAGTGTCTAACTAGTGTCTCTAACTACTCTGTGTCTAACTAGTGTGTCTAACTACTCTCTGTCTAACTATTTAGTGTCTAACTACTCTGTCTAACTAGTGTGTCTAACTACTTAGTGTCTAACTACTCTCTGTCTAACTAGTGTGTCTAACTACTCTGTGTCTAACTAGTGTGTCTAACTACTCTCTGTCTAACTACTCTGTGTCCAACTAGTGTGTCTAATTACTCTCTGTCTAACTAGTGTGTCTAACTACTCTGTGTCCAACTAGTGTGTCTAACTACTCTCTGTCTAACTAGTGTGTCTAACTATTTAGTGTCTAACTAGTGTGTCTAACTACTCTGTGTCTAACTAGTGTGTCTAACTACTCTCTGTCTAACTATTTAGTGTCTAACTACTCTGTCTAACTAGTGTGTCTAACTACTTAGTGTCTAACTACTCTCTGTCTAACTAGTGTGTCTAACTACTCTGTGTCTAACTAGTGTGTCTAACTACTCTCTGTCTAACTATTTAGTGTCTAACTACTCTGTCTAACTAGTGTGTCTAACTACTTAGTGTCTAACTACTCTCTGTCTAACTAGTGTGTCTAACTACTCTGTGTCTAACTAGTGTGTCTAACTACTCTCTGTCTAACTACTCTGTGTCCAACTAGTGTGTCTAACTACTCTCTGTCTAACTAGTGTGTCTAACTACTCTGTGTCTAACTAGTGTGTCTAACTACTCTCTGTCTAACTACTCTGTGTCCAACTAGTGTGTCTAACTACTCTCTGTCTAACTAGTGTGTCTAACTACTCTCTGTCTAACTAGTGTGTCAAACTACTCTCCGTCTAACTAGTGTGTCTAACTAGTTAGTGTCTGACTACTTAGTGTTTCACACACTCACTCAGCCACTCACTCAGCCACTCACTCAGTCTCTGTCTAACTAATCTGTGTCCAACTAGTGTGTCTTACTAGTGTGTCTAACTACTCTCTGTCTAACTAGTGTGTCTAACTAGTTAGTGTATTCACACACTCACTCAGTCTCTGTCTAACTACTCTCTGTCTAACTAGTGTGTCTAACTACTCTCTGTCTAACTAGTGTGTCTAACTAGTTAGTGTATTCACACACTCACTCAGTCTCTGTCTAACTACTCTCTGTCTAACTAGTGTGTCTAACTACTCTCTGTCTAACTAGTGTGTATAACTACTCTCTGTCTAACTAGTGTGTCTAACTACTCTCTGTCTAACTAGTGTGTCAAACTACTCTCTGTCTAACTAGTGTGTCTAACTACTCTCTGTCTAACTTGTGTGTCTAACTACTCTCTGTCTAACTAGTGTGTCTAACTACTCTCCGTCTAACTAGTGTGTCTAACTACTCTCTGTCTAACTAGTGTGTCTAACTAGTTAGTGTTTCACACACTCACTCAGTCTCTGTCTAACTACTCTCTGTCTAACTAGTGTGTCTAACTACTCTCTGTCTAACTAGTGTGTCTAACTAGTTAGTGTTTCACACACTCACTCAGCCACTCACTCAGCCACTCACTCAGTCTCCGTCTAACTACTCTGTCTAACTAGTGTGTCTAACTACTCTCTGTCTAACTAGTGTGTCTAACTACTCTCTGTCTAACTAGTGTGTCTAACTACTCTCTGTCTAACTAGTGTGTCTAACTACTCTCTGTCTAACTAGTGTGTCTAACTAGTTAGTGTTTCACACACTCACTCAGCCACTCACTCAGCCACTCACTCAGTCTCTGTCTAACTACTCTCTGTCTAACTAGTGTGTCTAACTACTCTCTGTCTAACTAGTGTGTCTAACTACTCTCTGTCTAACTAGTGTGTCTAACTACTCTCTGTCTAACTACTCTCTGTCTAACTACTTAGTGTCTAACTACTCTGTCTAACTAGTGTGTCTAACTACTCTCTGTCTAGCTACTTAGTGTCTAACTACTGTGTCTAACTACTCTCTGTCTAACTAGTGTGTCTACCTACTCTGTCTAACTAGTGTGTCTAACTACTCTCTGTCTAACTAGTGTGTCTAACTAGTTAGTGTCTGACTACTTAGTGTTTCACACACTCACTCAGCCACTCACTCAGTCTCTGTCTAACTACTCTCTGTCTAACTACTCTGTCTATCTAGTGTGTCTAACTACTCACTCAGTGTTTCACTCACTCACCCACTCACTAAGCCACTCACTCAGTCTCTGTCTAACTACCTAGTGTCTAACTACTCTCTGTCTAACTACTCTCTGTCTAACTACTCTCTGTCTAACTACTTAATGTTTCACTCACCCACTCACTCAGTCTGTGTCTGTGTCTAACTACTTAATGTCTAACTACTCTCTGTCTAACTACTTAGTGTTTCACACACTCACTCAGCCACTCACTCAGTCTCTGTCTAACTACTCTCTGTCTAACTACTGTCTGTGTAACTAGTGTGTCTAACTACTCTGTCTAACTAGTGTGTCTAACTACTCTCTGTCTAACTACTCTCTGTCTAACTACTATCTGTCTAACTAATGTGTCTAACTACTCTATGTCTAACTACTCTCTGTCTAACTAGTGTGTCTAACTACTCACTCAGTGTTTCACACACACTCTCACCCACTCACCCACTTACTCACTCACCCACTCACTCACCCACTCACTAACCCACTCCCCCACTCACTCACTCACCCACTCACTCACTCACCCACTCACCCACCCACTCACTCACTCACCCACTCACCCACCCACTCACCCACTCACTCACCCACTCACCCACCCACTCACCCACTCACTCACTCACTCACCCACTCACCCACCCACTCACTCACTCACCCACTCACCCACTCACTCACTCACTCACCCACTCACCCACCCACTCACCCACTCACTCACTCACACACTCACTCACCCACTCACTCACCACTCACTCACCCACTCACTCACCCACCCACCCACTCACCCACTCACTCACCCACCCACTCACTCATCCACTCACTCACCCACCCACTCACTCACCCACTCACTCACCCACCCACCCACTCACTCACCCACTCACTCACCCATCCACTCACTCACCCACTCACTCACTCACCCACTCACTCACCCACTCACCCACTCACCCACTCACTCACCCACTCACTCACCCACCCACCCACTCACTCACTCACCCACCCACCCACCCACTCACCCACCCACCCACCCACTCACTCACCCACTCACCCACTCACTCACCCACTCACTCACTCACCCACCCACCCACCCACTCACCCACCCACTCACTCACCCACTCACCCACCCACCCACTCACCCACCCACCCACTCACTCACCCACCCACCCACCCACTCACTCACTCACCCACTCGCTCACTCACTCACCTACCCACTCACTCACCCACTCACTCACCCACTCACTCACCCACACACTCACCCACTCACTCACCCACTCGCTCACTCACTCACCCACTCACCCACCCACTCACCCACTCACTCACTCACTCACCTACCCACTCACTCACCCACACACTCACCCACTCACTCACTCACCCACTCACCCACTCACCCACCCACTCACTCACTCACCCACTCACTCACCCACTCACCCACTCACTCACTCACCCACTCACTCACTCACTCACCCACCCACCCACCCACCCACTAACTCACCCACTCACCCACTCACTCACACACTCACTCACCCACTCACCCACTCACTCACCCACTCACTCACCCACTCACCCACTCATTCACCCACTCACCCACTCACTCACCCACTCACTCACCCACACACTCACCCACTCATTCACCCACTCACCCACTCATTCACTCACTCACTCACCCACCCACTCACTCACTCACCCACTCACCCACTCACCCACCCACCCACTAACTCACCCACTCACACTCACTCACCCACTCACCCACTCACTCACCCACTCACTCACCCACTCACTCACTCACCCACTCACCCACTCACCCACCCACTCACCCACTCACTCACACTCACTCACCCACTCACCCACTCACTCACCCACTCACTCACCCACTCACTCACCCACTCACTCACCCACTCACCCACTCACCCACTCACTCACCCACTCACTCACCCACACACTCACCCACTCACTCACCCACTCACCCACTCATTCACTCACTCACTCACTCACCCACCCACTCACTCACTCACCCACTCACCCACTCACTCACTCACCCACTCACTCACCCACTCATTCACTCACTCACCCACCCACTAACTCACCCACCCACTAACTCACCCCCCCACTCTCCCCCCACTCTCCCCTCCAGGTGAGAGTAAGGGAGAGTTGATTTCCCACTCTCCCTCACTCACATCCTGGGCAGACCCAGTCCTCCTGAGGACTGAAATCACTCTGGTTCCTGTTGAAGGTGGGTGGGTGAGTGGGTGGGTGAGTTGGTGGGTGGGTGGGTGGGTGAGTGAGTGAGTGGGTGGGTGAGTGAGTGGGTGGGTGAGTGGGTGGGTGGGTGGGTGAGTGCGTGAGTGAGTGGGTGAGTGGGTGAGTGAGTGGGTGGGTGAGTGGGTGGGTGAGTGCGTGAGTGAGTGGGTGGGTGAGTGGGTGGGTGAGTGCGTGAGTAGGTGGGTGGTTGAGTGAGTGAGTGGGTGAGTGAGTGGGTGGGTGAGTGAGTGAGTGGGTGGGTGGGTGAGTGAGTGGGTGGTTGAGTGAGTGGGTGGGTGGTTGGATGGGTGGGTGGGTGGTTGGATGGGTGGGTGGGTGAGTTGGTGGGTCGGTGGATGGGTGAGTGGGTGAGTGAGCGAGTGGGTGGGTGGTTGGGTGGGTGGGTGAGTTGGTGGGTGGGTGTGTGGGTGAGTGGGTGGGTGGGTGAGTGAGTTGGTGGGTGGGTGAGTGGGTGGTTGAGTGAGTGGGTGGTTGAGTGAGTGAGTGGTTGGGTGGGTGGGTGAGCTGGTGGGTGAGTGGGTGAGTGGGTGGGTGGTTGAGTGGGTGGATGGTTGGAGTGAGTAGGTGTACTGTGTGTGTGACTATGTGTGTGACTGTGTGTGTATGACTGTGTGTACTGTGTGTATGTACTGTGTGTATACTGTGTGTGTGTCTGTGTGTACTGTGTGTGTGACTGTGTGTGTATGACTGTGTGTACTGTGTGTGTGTACTGTATGTGTGTGACTGTGTGTGTGACTGTGTGTGTATGACTGTGTGTACTGTGTGTGTACTATGTACTGTGTGTGTACTGTGTGTGACTGTGTGTACTGTGTGTGTATACTATGTGTACTGTGTGTGTGTGTCTGTGTGTGTGTACTGTGTGTGTGTACTGTGTGTGTGTACTGTGTGTGTACTGTGTGTATACTGTGTATATCTGTGACTGTGTGTGTGTACTGTGTGTGACTGTGTGTGTACTGTGTGTGTGTACTGTGTGTACTGTGTGTGTACTGTGTGTGTGTACTGTGTGTGACTGTGTGTGTACTGTGTGTGTGTGTGTACTGTGTGTATACTGTGTGTGTACTGTGTGTGTGTACTGTGTGTATACTGTGTGTGTACTGTGTGTGTGTACTGTGTGTACTGTGTGTGCACTGTGTGTACTGTGTGTGTACTGTGTGTATACTGTGTGTGTACTGTGTGTATACTGTGTGTACTGTGTGTGTACTGTGTGTACTGTGTGTGTACTGTGTACTGTATGTGTACTGTGTGTGACTGTGTGTGTACTGTGTGTGTGTACTGTGTGTACTGTGTATGTACTGTGTACTGTATGTGTACTGTGTGTGACTGTGTGTGTACTGTGTGTGTGTACTGTGTGTGTACTGTGTACTGTATGTGTACTGTGTGTGACTGTGTGTGTACTGTGTGTATACTGTGTGTGTACTGTGTGTATACTGTGTGTACTGTGTGTGTACTGTGTGTGTCTGTGTGTGTGTGACTGTGTGTGTGTGTACTGTGTGTATACTGTGTGTGTTTACTGTGTGTGTACTGTGTGTGTGTACTGTGTGTGTACTGTGTGTACTGTGTGTGTGTACTGTGTGTGTACTGTGTACTGTGTGTGTGTACTGTGTGTGTGACTGTGTGTGTACTGTGGTACTTTGTGTACTGTGTTTGTACTGTGTGTGTGTGTGTACTGTGTGTGTACTGTGTGTGTACTGTGTGTACTGTGTGTGTGTACTGTGTGTGTGTACTCTGTGTGTGTATACTGTGTGTACTGTGTGTGTGTACTGTGTGTGTACTGTGTGTGTACTGTGTGTGTACTGTGTGTGTGTGTGTACTGTGTGTGTACTGTGTACTGTGTGTGTACTGTGTGTGTATACTGTGTGTACTGTGTGTGTGTACTGTGTGTGTGTACTGTGTGTGTCTGTGTGTGTGTGTGTGTACAGTGTGTGTACTGTGTGTGTACTGTGTGTACTGTGTGTGTACTGTATGTACTGTGTGTACTGTATGTGTACTGTGTGTACTGTGTGTGTACTGTGTGTACTGTGTACTGTGTGTACTGTGTGTGTACTGTGTGTGTACTGTGTGTGTGTGTACTGTGTGTGTACTATGTGTGTACTGTGTGTGTATCTGTGTGTGTGTACTGTGTGTGTACTGTGTGTGTACTGTGTGTGTGTACTGTATGTACTGTGTGTGTACTGTATGTACTGTATGTGTACTGTGTGTACTGTGTGTGTGTACTGTGTGTGTGTACTGTGTGTGTGTACTGTATGTACTGTGTGTGTACTGTGTGTGTGTGTACTGTGTGTACTGTGTGTGTACTGTGTGTACTGTGTGTGTACTGTGTGTGTACTGTGTGTACTGTGTGTGTACTGTGTGTGTACTGTGTGTGTACTGTGTGTACTGTGTGTGTACTGTGTGCGTACTGTGTGTGTGTACTGTGTGTGTACTGTGTGTGTACTGTGTGTGTGTACTGTGTGTGTACTGTGTGTGTACTGTGTGTACTGTATGTACTGTGTGTGTACTGTGTGTACTGTGTGTGTACTGTATGTACTGTGTGTGTATACTGTGTGTACTGTGTGTGTACTGTGTGTGTGTCTGTGTGTGTGTACTGTGTGTGTGTGTACTGTGTGTGTACTGTGTGTGAGTACTGTGTGTATTGTGTGTGTGTACTGTGTGTACTGTGTGTGTACTGTGTGTACTGTGTGTGTACTGTGTGTACTGTGTGTGTCTGTGTGTGTACTGTGTCTGTGTGTGTGTGTGTCTGTGTGTGTGTACTGTGTGTACTGTGTACTGTGTGTACTGTGTGAGTACTGTGTGTGTACTGTGTGTGTGTGTGTACTGTGTGTGTACTGTGTGTGTACTGTGTGTGTGTGTACTGTGTGTGTACTGTGTGTACTGTGTGTGTGTACTGTGTGTGTACTGTGTGTGTACTGTGTGTGTGTACTGTGTGTGTACTGTGTGTGTGTACTGTGTGTACTGTGTGTGTACTGTGTCTGTGTACTGTGTGTACTGTGTGTGTACTGTGTGTACTGTGTGTGTGTACTGTGTGTGTACTGTGTGTGTGTACTGTGTGTGTGTACTGTGTGTATACTGTGTGTGTACTGTGTGTGTGTGTGTACTGTGTGTGTGTACTGTGTGTGTGACTGTGTGTGTACTGTGTGTGTACTGGGTGTACTGTGTGTGTACTGTGTGTGTACTGTGTGTGTACTGTGTGTACTGTGTGTGTACTGTGTGTGTACTGTGTGTGTGCTGTGTGTGTACTGTGTGTATTGTGTGTGTACTGTGTGTGTACTGTGTGTGTGTACTGTGTGTGTACTGTGTGTACTGTGTGTGTACTGTGTGTGTACTGTGTGTACTGTGTGTGTGTGTACTGTGTGTGTACTGTGTGTACTGTGTGTGTACTGTGTGTGTACTGTGTGTGTGTACTGTGTGTGTACTGTGTGTACTGTGTGTATACTGTGTGTACTGTATGTGTGTACTGTGTGTGTGTACTGTGTGTGTACTGTGTGTGTACTGTGTGTACTGTGTGTGTACTGTATGTACTGTGTGTGTACTGTGTGTGCTGTGTGTGTGTACTGTGTGTACTGTGTGTGTACTGTGTGTGTGTACTGTGTGTGTACTGTGTGTGTACTGTGTGTGTGTACTGTGTGTACTGTGTGTGTACTGTGTGTGTATACTGTGTGTGTATACTGTGTGTGTACTGTGTGTGTGTACTGTGTGTGTACTGTGTGTACTGTGTGTGTACTGTGTGTGTACTGTGTGTGTGTACTGTGTGTGTACTGTGTGTGTGTGTACTGTGTGTGTGTACTGTGTGTGTACTGTGTGTGTACTGTGTGTACTGTGTGTGTACTGTGTGTACTGTGTGTGTGTACTGTGTGTACTGTGTGTGTACTGTGTGTGTACTGTGTGTGTACTGTGTGTACTGTGTGTGTGTACTGTGTGTGTACTGTGTCTGTGTACTGTGTGTGTGTACTGTGTGTACTGTGTGTATACTGTGTGTACTGTGTGTGTACTGTGTGTGTACTGTGTGAGTACTGTGTGTGTGTACTGTGTGTGTACTGTGTGTACTGTGTGTGTACTGTGTGTGTGTACTGTGTGTACTGTGTGTGTGTACTGTGTCTGTGTGTACTGTGTGTGTGTACTGTGTGTGTGTACTGTGTGTACTGTGTGTGTACTGTGTGTACTGTGTGAGTACTGTGTGTGTACTGTGTGTACTGTGTGTGTACTGTGTGTGTACTGTGTGTGTACTGTGTGTGTGTACTGTATGTGTGTACTGTGTGTGTACTGTGTGTGTACTGTGTGTGTGTACTGTGTGTGTGTGTGTGTACTGTGTGTGTACTGTGTGTACTGTGTGTATACTGTGTGTGTACTGTGTGTGTGTACTGTGTGTGTGTGTGTGTACTGTGTGTGTACTGTGTGTGTACTGTGTGTGTGTGTACTGTGTGTGTACTGTGTGTGTGTACTGTGTGTGTGTACTGTGTGTGTACTGTGTGTGTACTGTGTGTGTACTGTGTGTGTGTACTGTGTGTACTGTGTGTGTACTGTGTGTGTACTGTGTGTACTGTGTGTGTACTGTGTGTGTACTGTGTGTGTGTACTGTGTGTGTACTGTGTGTGTGTACTGTGTATGTACTGTGTGTACTGTGTGTGTACTGTGTGTGTACTGTGTGTGTACTGTGTGTGTACTGTGTGTATACTGTGTGTGTACTGTGTGTGTACTGTGTGTGTGTACTGTGTGTGTACTGTGTGTGTGTACTGTGTGTGTACTGTGTGTACTGTGTGTGTACTGTGTGTGTACTGTGTGTGTACTGTGTGTGTACTGTGTGTGTGTACTGTGTGTGTACTGTGT